CTCTCTCTCTCGCTGTCTCTGGTTTTCCATGTGCCTCTGTCAAGCTCAGAGAATGAATTCAGCTCAGTGTAATGAGATTGAGTCTGACCAGGACAAGGGCACTGCTGTCAAAACTCCTCTATTCTCAGCGCTCTCTCCACAATCTGTCACATACTCTGGAATCAAACATTTTATGCAGAGTTTCTAATTACCTACAAATATAGCCTAAATATTTGACTGAAGTATTCTGTTTCTTATGAGGTTCCTATTATCGGGGTTGAAGTTTGCATTGGTGAACACCACCATGTGTAAAAATCAAGCCAATTTCATTGCCTACAAGATTAGCCGAAATACATGAATTAAGGTGCTTATTAATTTCTCTTGATGTGTTCCATAGAGAACATTTCAAGACCTTTGAAGAAGATAATGCTTATTTTCCCCTCTAAAAGCCTGCTTTGGTTGACTCCAGTAACTGCATTCCCAGAAGAGTTATTTGAATACTCCTGAAGTTGATTTGTTTTTCTATTCATCTCAAATTTCTTTCTTTTGATCTCTGTAGAGGACAGGAAATGTACGCTCCACCTTTTTTAAAGACTGCCTCTACGAGGTGTTTGATGACCTGGAGTGTAAGATGGAGAACGTTGGGAAGCATCTCCTCCGCTCCGTGCTGCAGCTGATGGAAAGCGGCGCTCTGGTCCTCACCACTAACTTTGACAATCTGCTAGAGATTTACGCCGCCCATCAAGGGACCAAGCTGGAGTCTCTGGATCTCACAGATGAGAAGAAGGTACCAGCTGTGTTTTCTGTATAAATGAGGTGAATTAGCATCACAGTTCAGACTGAGTTATTGGACGCTAACCATTTGAATAGTGAAGGAGGTCTGACTTTTAGAATTGGATTTGGTCAGTGCATAAATGTAGCGTTGATGAAAGAAGATAGTCTAATAATCTAAATGTAATTTATTCTCCATGACATTTGTATTCTGTGAAAATCATGTGACTATTAGTATAAATAAAAAGAGACCGCTATAATCGATTATTATTAATATAATTATGTTGTTGTTTGTAAGTAGTTAATTCTATCTATCAATCAAACATTCTTTTAAATTGCAAGTTTAACGTTTTTGTATTTTTTTGTAATATATGTTTTTTTTCACAGTGCTAGTCAAATTTTAACATTTCAATTTAAAAAGCAAACAAAATTCAAAATTATAATTTGAAATATCTATTTGAATATATTTTAAAATGTAATGTATTCCTGTGATGCAAA